AGTTTCAGAAATTTTGCTGCCAATATTACTTGGCATTCCAAAAAATACCGCCGGGGCTTTAAAGCCTCCCGCGCCAAGCCAGTGGAACTGTCAGCCCTGACATGCCACCTGTACATTAGAGGTGTGCTAGCCATGTCTAGTGGATTACAGAGACAGCGCAAATCCCTGTTTCTTTGTTCTATCGCTAAGATCACATTGCAACATAAAATTAGGCCTTGCAATTGTGGTACAGTAATATGCTATCGTTCTCCTCCTAGCGGATCTAGCAAGCACTGCTTCACGTTCCGTCGGTCAAGCACTGAGTGAATACCATGAAGAGACGGCAGACCAAGGTGCCAAACAGATGCGGGAAGTCAAATTGCATGTAGCTCTGGCAGTTAGTGAAAATTATCGCAAAATACAACGTATTCAGGACAACAGCTTGGATTACGTAATAACCGTGCATTTTATTGTCAGGAGATGATATACGTGATATGAATGGTTTTTATGCGTTTTTTGCTGTGCAGCACTACAGCGCTACTAAAGTGAGCAAAAACGCATATTGTCGAGAGGTTGTCCATCTGTCTGTGTGTTCGGAAGCGAGTGAACTTTGAATTTTTGGAGGCATATTCTCATCCCATGCGTCACCTTCCCTTTTTGTTAAAAATTTTTCTCATACGCTCCTAAATCTCACGTACGGGCCCCGAAAAAATATGCAGATTTCGTTAACGGAAAACGATTTCGATAACCAGCGAAGATAGAAAGCTGAAACTTTGCAAAGATATACTCTGTGCATGTACGAGCTAAGGATTTCAAATTCAGCTACCGTACACGCTTATACAGCATTTATTTTCACGTCAAATTTCGCAATGGGCATTATACCAAGTCGGAAAATAGCCCAAAAACAGTATCTGAAATTTTCCCAAAATATTTCTCATTCATATGGAAAACAGTGTATTTGAACTGAGTTTTGATCTGCACTCGTGCTACTACTTAGGGCACGTTAAATGTATTTGTAAAGAAGTAGCTATTTGCTTACCAGACAATCAGCGAAGCTAAAAGTCTGCAAGGGTATTCCACATCCACATGTGGCCTTGATTTATTTTGGAAGCGAAATTAACCGCGCGCAGACTTGACAAATACTAAATTTTATCGCAAACTCAAAAGCGAGTGCGTTTTGCAGATTTCATATCCTCCTTCGGATTTCCTTAAAATTTGCATTTTTTCAGTGAATGAGCACCCACCGAAAAAGCGACCGCACTTCATGCAAAAATACCGGTAAACATGTATGCTGCAGGTCTATGCGGCCCCATAATGCAAGACCATTATCCCAACTGGCGCTCATTCATTTACACGCGGAAAACGGCCAAAACACAGGCAACATGTGTCCAAGTGCTAAACTACAGCGCAGGGACCACCCCTGCTGGTAGCAGTCTGCAGCTTTAGCGCAAATGATTGCACCGACAAGCCTGGTGCTTTGCAGCCTGGGGTTTTTTTTTTTTTTAAAAAATTTTGTTATACCTTTAGTGAGTCATTCAAAGCTGATCATTGTTTTTTCTCCTCATTCTTCGAATTATATTTATTTTAATGCTTTTTTTCCTCTTTTTTTGCCGATCCAATTCTCATTTTCCTTTCTCTCTTATAACTGGAGTACCTGGCCTAGTATGGTTCTTCATCTGTGCAGCTGATAGCTTTTTCATGTTCATAATTATTTTTACGAGCGCTGCATTGTTAGAATGTCAACCTGCTGACGTGCCTAAATTTCACTTCGTCGTCTGAATAAATAGATTACAATCCATCTGTCATACTCTTAATATCGTTATACTTCTTATCACAAGTTTATAACTGTTTGAATATTTTACGGCTTCTGCTGACTGAATTCGGAAGCCCTTTGCATGTCGTCTTGGCCTGTGCTTTTTAGACAAGATATGAATCGCTGTTCCGCAGCCGGTAACATCTAAATTTAAAGTATGTTTCTGGCTGCATTTTGTACTTCAAAAATGGTGGTCTTATGACATAAATTCAATGGTTTGGACACTTTGCATAGTTTGGGCATGCCACGGAACCGTAGAAATGCATATTCAAATTTTATCACTGTTTGGTAATGATTTAGATCACTCTTCAGTTCCGAAGTGATCATTCTTGTTTTTGCTTATCTTTGAATCGAAGAATTTCGGCTCCTTCCATTCAGCTTGATCGATGAGCGACACCTAAACGGAGAAGCAGTTTCAAACATTTGACAACGATTCAATGTGAGGGAAGAAGCCGAGATATGTGAAACTATGCATACTCAAACTTTCATCAGACTAATTTGTTAGCGAAGGCAGTAGCGAGTGTACGCTTGTAATTACAGGAATGCTCTGAAATGAGACTACTGTGTATTTGTACAACTACCCTAACTTATTTTGGGATTGTCTACAAAATTTCAACTTCTTAGCTTGTTTTTTCTTGGAATTATATGAATCAGCTTAAATTTGAACGAGAACTGTGAGGCACAAAGTAGCTCAAGAGTAATGTTTCTGGATCTAAGACTGAAAACAGGGATTTCAAAGAATCCACGCCCATTCTTCTGGGATATACATGTGTATACACACACTCAAACACACAAGCATATTCTGAATCATTTATTCAGTACGGTTTCGCATAAAATTAATTTATTCAGTATGGTTTAGTGACACAAATGCTTAACTTAATTTTACGAGGACCTAAGCCGCAAATCTTTCGATTTTGTGTAGATCTGCACTGAATGAAAGAAAATGAAGTACCTTACTTGCTAATGGTTGTTCGACCGAGCATTCGCCGCAGCGTCTGCGCCATCAGTTGCCGATAACGTCTGCTCACCAAACAGTACAGGCAAAAATTTAGCGCGGCATTCAGGAAAACAAGCTGCAACTACGCAATGGTTTAAAAAGTCGGAAATTTCGCACTAGCTCCCTGGAAGAGGCGAAGACACTAGACCGGATGACATCAAATGCCAAAAGCAACCACTCGCTGGTAAAGCTGGCGATGGCTCCCTCTTTTCTGAGTTGCTTATGAGCAAGCTGATAGTGGGTCTGATTCTCTGGCAATATGCCAATACCAATTTACCACCGAAACGAATGAAAAAATTGTAAAGAACCAGTAGATACAAACATACGTAAGCATACGCAGGATCTTTATGACTTGCTTTTTTTTGCATTTGCATATGTGCGAAAACGCATGAAAATACGAATAAATAAAAAGTGCTTACCTGCTGTGTGACGCATGTGTATGCGATGGTGGTCAGATGGTACTGACCGTAGTGCGCAAAGAGCAACCGAGCCGGTGCTTGCGGCCCGACACATACCAACAACATCAACACCACGGCGAAAAGCATCGCGTTTGCGTTAAACCTCTGAGCAGCGGATCTGTGACCACTGGTGCCATCCTAGAAATGTGGTACTGACTACTAAAACCCACGAATTTTTTGTTAAAAAACGCAGCACTGTAGAAGTGAACTATTTAAAAATTTGTTTTTTAGATTTAAAAATCACAGCTATGCTTAGTGGATAAGACAAAGAACAGTACAAGCATGGCTTCAGGCAGAAGGATCAGAATGAATAGCATTCAGCAAGAGACGCCTTTTTCAACTATCCTAAAGCCCTAATCATAAAAGCGACACTTTTCAGTGACTGTGTTATCAGTTGCTGTATATGGAAGCGACAAGTAGAACATATCACAGTTGCAGAGTAAGACAATTCACTATAACTCAAAAAGCTGACCTCTGCAGTTTCAGCTTTGCGGCTTAGCCGGTAAGCAAAATAGCCACTTTGCTATAAATATTTTTCAAGTTTCCTAAGTCGTGGCGCAAGTGCAAGTAGAAACTCAATTTAGGCCTACGATTTCCAAGACTGATGATAAATATTTTGACAAAATTTCAGTCACTGTTTTTCGACCAGTTTTCGAGCTGACATAATGTCAACTGCAAACTTAGTGAGAAAAGATTGAAATAATAATGATAATTCTAAACACAACTTTCATGACAGATTTTTTTGATTCTTTGTTCCTAGTTTATTAGCTCAGCTCAACGATTTTCCTGATTTCTTTGAAAAGGACGTTTTCGGAATCGCCGATGCTGCGCAACACCGCTAGTCATGATCCAGAGGCTTATTCACCTTTGTAAATATTTACTGAGTGGAGGTAAATGCATACCGTAATGAGGGCGCTATTGTCGGCAGTTGTGCTACATCGTGGAGTACTCCCGGTGACCACTTCGTTGTGCGCAGCGACACTCGGATGACCACCGCCCACATCCTCGTCATCAGCACCAAAACTTCCACGTGCCATCGTGTCTCGGCCAACAACTTTTCGTAGAGTAATAATTAGCTGAGTGTTCAATATACAAAGTGCGGCAACTGGCAAAACGTTAAATGTGGCAAGCGTTAAGTAATCCATCAGCTGATAGTATGCCTGAACAAATAAACGATCAAAATTTACTACTCGTCACACAGCGTTTTTTACTCGCCCGCAGCTCATAAAATTATCCAAAAATCCAATTTTAAAAATAATAATAAACTGATAAAATCTATATCGAGATCAGCATGTAATGACTTATTGCTTTTTGTTAAAATTTCGTGAAAAAGCCTGGTCCTATTTAAGTTTTTGGCATCTTACCCCTCTAAAGTGACGCAGTCGCTTTGACCTGTAGCTAATCGAGTGTATAGGTATTCCTCTTTGCCTCCAGGGTCGAGTTTTGTGTTTTTCTGTTCCGTCTTCTCGCCGAGTTCAAACACTCCGTTCTGTAGAGCTTCAGCTTTTCCAGAGCATCGCATTCTCCTTCCCTTCTTAGTTTGGGCTTTCTTTATAAGACTAATAGCCTGTTATACAGCATAAACAGAAATGCATACATCTATCACAGATTGCCGGTTAGCCACACGTACATGCATAAGGCATCCTCCCATACCATTCTAAGCATCAAATTTTAAGATCGCGACAAATATTGTTAGTGAAAAAAAGCATATGGTGCTCGAGGTTAAGCAAACCTGTAAATTTGCATTATCACTGATAGCAATAACATAGAAATGCTGGCGAAGATGATAATCCCAGCAAGGCCTAATCCTGTAGCATATTGGCCACTGTAACGAGCATAGCAGCGATATGACCAGACAGAAAACCACGGCTGTTCGACTTGCCCGACTTGAGCATAAATCATGGGCCCTTAATGGATGACAGACCCAGATATACCGTTCCACATTGAATGTCACCACTAATCTGGAAAATATGGCCGTGGGGACGAGGCTGAAGTACATGCAATACTGATAACACTTATTAGTGCAACCTACGCTACATGACCCTC